GCAAAAATGAGAACGCCTTTACATTACATTTCTATGGAACCTATGGGTTTGCTGTATACTGTTTGTGTCGGTCTAAATAGTTGCTTAACCGGTTAGACCGTCTTCATGTCAGTAATCTCGATAGTTTTTGTTCTTGGTACTGATATGCGGTGTTTTGCTTGCCTCTGTTAGCAACAATGCCGAGTCAACCGGCTCCAGAATCAACTGATTGAGCCCCGAATGCTCATCGGCATTTGTTGAGAGGATACAAGCGTGGTTCTCGGCCTCATGCGGCCTATGGTTGGGATCCTAACCTGAAAGATAAAGGCGCAAACAGACCTCACTGGATGTTAGTTATCATTCGTCAAGTTGTTATAGTGCTTTGGATTAGAACCTTGTCATAAGTAACCGATTTGTTAAGTTGTTAACAGGCGACGCTTGAGGATATTACCGTCTGATGTTCCGCGACGGCCTTTTCGTCATACACGAGAGCCTACTCGTTTCACAACAAGCCTTCAACGAAGGCCGCTCCACCGGCCCTCGCCTATGGGCGTGCAGAGTTGTCCACGGGCCTCATCTTGCTGGCTTTCCTGCCGTATATGACTGACACAGACAGGTGTCTGGTTTTGAAATTATTAGTGGGCGGAGACAAAATTACGTCTTGATAGGTCATACTATCTGCGCGCCAACGACATATTTTTTCACAACAAACGGACTTCTTGCCTACTTGGTTGACATCATTTATTTATTTGGAAAAGCCTTTTGTTGGGAAAATTTCTTTGGAACCGGTAGTACTCCTCTATTGCCTCTCTACTTTTGAGTTCTCGTGTTTATAATGTATTCTCTACTCTTTCGCATTCAGGTATTCGGTTTGGTGATGCAATTATGGCCTCTTGAAAGTCTGAAAATGTTGTTCTTAATCAAGCATTATATTCACAAACACACACTTGTGCCTTTTAGCACGAAAAAATGAGTGGCCGAATTCTTCGGTGGATTGTTCAACAAAACCCCGACTTGGCTGCTAGCATATCTGAGGCAGCCATTGATTTGGACCTGGTTTGCGCCTTGATAGAGGGCAAACCGACTCAAGAACAATTGGTAAGTGACGTTTTTTTACATCGACATAACATTACATGTGATGCCTGCATTCTCTACTGCATGTCTTGCATGCGAATTTGTCACGGTTTGCTTGTTTGTTCTTCATGGCTTCTGCAGAAGAAACGCTCGCTGTTTCCTCCTGATTGAAATTTGATCCTATTTTCTCAGACCTATTCCTGTTACTGGGAGAAATCGCTGTTAAACAGTAGTGTGCTGAGTGCTGATTGCAGGCTTTGGATGCTAACAAAGTCTCCTTTTCTGGATTTCCCCTAGTCATCTTGACTTTAGGAATTTACGGATTCTCTGTTGTTAAGGATTGGTTGTCAAATTGATTACCGTTATTTTTTTTATTATCTTTAGAATCATAGCGTCGAGCCGTCTTCCTGCTGGGAATATGATAGATCAAACTGCTGTTCAGATCGAATTTTGCGGGAGAGGGGATCATTGCATTCTTCTTTGTCCGGCATATGCACCGCGGCCATTTAGCTTGGGAAAATTCTCGATTTTCTGCTTTGCGAAATGCGTTTGAAGTGGTTTGTGACAACTTAGCTTGGTTTCAGGGCGCACAGACCGGTCGAGGTTGCACTAATCAAATATCTACTCCTTGTCGCTTGGCCGACGTAATAGCTGCCTCCAGCTTCCCTGTTCCGTTTGATTCTGTACCGAGTCCATCTGAAGGGAGGTGATCCTTTAAAACGTAGATTTCCAGCATGACAGCAGAAAGTCTGTTTGATAGTTAAGGGGTATAGCAGTGCTGTGTAGCTCCGCTGTTTGCGGTTTATCCTTAACTAATTGTTTGTTATCAATCGAAAAAGTTAACATTCACCAACACTCGGGTTTTCCCGGTCTCGCAATTACGTTATTTAAAAGTGCTCATAGCGGCCACTCGGCCCCCTAACACAGTTCCCGCGAATTGATGTGGCCGTACTACTGTCTGCCTCAGAATCGTCGTCCAGTATGCGTCTGGCTCAAGGCTCAAGAGCAGAGGAGGTATCAGTCGTTGTTAGGCAAATAGAACTGGAACTGTATTCCTTTGACATTTCGTCACCCCCAGCCTCTTGATCTGAGACACATTCGCAGCCTTAACATTTTGGACCCCACACGTGACAAAACCGTTATTCTTGTGGGGCCTAATTACATTCCTCCAGTCT